TAATGTAATGTAAGGTAAGGTAAGGTAATGTAATGAAATGTTTTATAGGTAACAACAATGCCGAGTAAACAATTTAAGTTTCCAAGGTAACATAACAATGAAGTTACACTTTTTCGTAACACATTTTTGCCGAATGACATTGACCCTAAAATATAGACGTATTTACGTCAAAAACGCAGGGGAGCCCAGGACAGAACGGGGAACTTAATCCTTGGAGGCACGTGGAAGGGACAAACACATGGAGGAACCTTGTGTGGAATTATTGCCTATTTGAAATTTATAACGAGCTATTAGTTTAGTTCTAAGAGTTACAGTGTTTTTAAAACATTAAACTTATTTCTTGGCTATTATTTCGAAAATGAAACATTTGCGACCACATGTTCATAGGAACATTTTATCTTATTTTTGATCCTGGAAAACGCACACGAAGTTTGTAAACATACTTCTGACTCACCCTGTATAACAGTGAACATATTTCGCTAACCATTTCTAGCCAATTTGTAAAAAGATCATTCGATGCGGAACGTGAAATGATATTTTACATATTTTATATATTTTATCATCTTATTAAAAATTGTGATTTGACGGAAAATATTAAAATATTAACTTAATTCACAATATGACGCAAATACACTACCTTACGAAATTCTAAGTACCAGTGGGGTTTTTTTCTGGCTTAATCCGCCAATGATAGCAGAATCATTTCTTGCAATTCGTAACTATTTTACGAACGATTAATAAAGTTTTGTTGAAATCAACCATCCGTCTTAGAATTACGCGTGATTTCATGCAATGAAATGGTAGTAACTGAAAACACATTGTCAAGAAGGCAAAAGAGAAAAGATTTAATTATTTTTAGGTTATTTTTATCTCAGTAGGACTTAGTTTATTTCAGAACATCATACGAATTCATCTGTATCAGTGTAAGGGATCTGCCTGAAAGTAGTCTCACGTGCTTGGCCGTCGCAGGTTTCGTAACTTTGCCGCGAGAGGCGTGTTCCTTCAAGGTATCGTCTCAGGATATATGACGTCGAAAGGAACGAGAGCTGAAACTCTGTTCATGATGATGCCTATGACCTGGGCGAAAGCCTCAGATATTGAGGGGGACATCGACTTGTAAACCTCCCTCCAGTTTTCGTTCATGAATTCATTCATCTGCGTTCCTGTAACAGAAAAGTCATTCACTGGGGCATTTAAGCAGAGGACACATTTCTCTTATATAAGACCTGTTCCTTTGGCCCTGAGCCATACTGGAGGCGATCAAAAGTGTTCTAAATAATTATACATCAATTCGAAATTATTTGGTCTGCATTATATAACATTGAATAGCAATTATTTTAAATTTTTTTTCTATAGTAAACAGACCTGGTGTGAAGACCTATATTTTATATACGTCTGCACATTCGAACAAATATTGACTACCTCTAAATATAGATCATTAAGGATTCTGGCAATGGTTTTCTTGTATCTCGGCTCTGCAACCCAGTTGTGGCTTTTAGCCGCCACCTTTTAGGAGGTTTCTTGGTCTTGAAGTGTGCATTCATGAGTAGCGAGTGACCAGCACAATTTCTACCCAATCCTGATTTTTACTGCCAGAGCCGTCTAGAAGTGAATCAGGAGAGTTGGCTAAGAACTGCTGAATTTGTAGGATTTGAGGTTCTCACAGCGGTGAGTATGAAGATATCCGTCTTCTGGGTTATTGCGCTGTGTAGTCTGGTCGATGTTAACCAACGTTTCAGAGGTCATACTG